GAGAGAGAGAGAGGGGGGGACCAGCTTACACATTAATAATGTTTGGGCACAGAAGATAACAACAGGATGTGCTGAACCATACAATGTATTGGAATCTCTGTCCCCTTCTCCTGGTTAGAATATGTTCAGTACCTGGACTGGCATTGAACAAGTTCTATCCATCACCAGTTGGTCTCACCTCAGCCCTTCCTCGAGAACTGATAGCTGGTCAAATCAAACAAGGTCACATACATGATTGATATGGCACAACAACAGCAGCATGTTTGTTTTTGTTAGATTCAGCTATCAAATATGAGAAAGAGATGATGATGGTGGTGCCACATTGACCACATAAAAAGTTGTATGATTTGGCCAATTATGCAAGCTGGCTTTTCCTACTTTCTTTGACCATGTTCTATATGGACATTTAGTGTACTCCCTACTTTCTACTTGATATCACATGTTATTGCCTCTATTGCATGAGGCTACTCAATCACCAGAATTAGCTAAAGGCAAGTACAACAATGGCTGTCCTTGGCCTGAGACCACTTTCCATAGACCAAGATGCAGAAGGAAATAATGCTTGAGCAACCAACAGGTACACTGGATTTGGATCTCATGAGTGCCTTTCTACTAATTTAATGCTTTCAATATTTCTCTACACCTCACTCTCAATAGAAATTACATCTCTACACAGCTTTCCTAGAAGCAGGGAGCAGAAACATGCAATGTATAAAGATGTAATACTAGCAACTCTGAATCTTGCTGGGTTAAACTTGTCATGAAACATGGGCTGATATGATCCCAATGAGGCTCACAAAGATGACATCAAACTAATCATGAACCAACTTGTGTTAGGATTCAGAGAATTCTTCTTCATTAGCAATACAAAACAGTACCATGACCACAGGATTCAGGAGACTTTCCTGGCAAACTTGCATACAAACAGCATGGTCTCCACAAAACCATCTTATCTTCTTCACAATTGCAAACATCAACATCCTGGTGTCACTTGAATGCACACCAAATTCTATTGAGAGCTTGCACCATTACTTTTCATCAGCAGCAGAAGAAATTAACACTTAAAATATTATCAAAATAATGTTTCACTTGAAGCACCATGTATTTCTATCATCATCTTTGAAATGAAATTGAGCATTTACTGTCATAGTCTGAAAGCTGTTGGCTGAAAATTAGGCTAACAGAATCAGAGGATGTAGCAGAGTAACCTTTTTCCTGCTAATGATTGTAAATTAGATGGCTAAAACACCATGGAAGATTAGATGGGTTGTCTATGTGCAGTCATTTGCGGCACTACTGTTAGGAAGAAGCTTTTACCTGTTAAAAAACTTGAATTGCACTGTCAATCCAAATTCATCATGATAACATGTCTTCAACAGTTCCTAACATCACCTACATACAATAGATACTAGCAAAAGGACATCACAACATTACTGATGCTTCTCGGTAGCATAGGTTTCATACATACAGACAAAAGAGTTGAGATCCATAAGATCTTTAGAAATAGAACTGATATTTAGAAAGTTTTTGACTTCATGATGCTGGTCATCCTTCCATGCCATAGTTATCATGAGGTCTAAAGAGACCATTGCATGCCAGGACCTGAATGGTCATATGCCCTATCTGAACCATGGTCAAGGCAGTGTCCATTTTCCTGCGGAGCAAACTCTACTTGACCTGTAAAATGAGCATCACTGACGTTGGTTGTCCCTCCTGCTAATCCCATTTCATGCTGGATTTCATGTGAGCTAATCCTGGCTCCATGACCTCTGGTTCCCCATGAGCTGTTGAAGTAATTGCTGGGAATGACTGAATGGGTTGTTGGCTGGCCATCAAAGGTGCTGCTTGCTGGGATTACCGGAGAACGGTTTCCAGCAGAGTTGCTGCTCCACGGATCAGTTGACAGAAGAGAGAGAGCACAGCTCGAGTCAGAGACTCCTGCAAGACATTCACCAGGTGGAAGTTCCATGGGGGAGCAGAAGGCCCCCACCGGAGGTCCCTGAAAGCAGGGATGAGTACCATGCAGTGCAGCTGCATGGGATGGAGCATCTAAGACACCACGCCATTCATTATTAGCCATCCGATCACCAGTCCTTGCAGTTGGCCAAACATCCCTTGCAGCACATGAGAAATTTGGGTAACTGAAGTCCACTAGAAAGCTTCTGAATCTATTAGGGTCTTCTGTAGGTAAAGCATATTAGCATGACAATAAAATGCAGCATATTAGACAGCTGCGAGAAGGAAAATGTAAATGCAACAACAATAAGATGCTCCTGACCATGGAAGGATGATGCAATGCGGCCATAGCGTGTTCCAAATGGCCCAGGAGGTGGCTTCCTTCGACGCTCATTATGTCCTGCAAGACGTCTGCGACAACTGCGTTTTCCTTGGTCAAATTCAGGTAACTGATGAAACCTGTGATTATGTAGCCATGTCAAAACAAACATCATTTATCAAACTTACCAGTAAGCAACGTGTATATTATGTGCCAAAAGATATGTTGAAAGCACCAGAACATGGATATCACCAACTGTTATTATTACCATCATCATCATTCTCCTATTAATACAGACAGGCCATAAGCACAGCTCACCATGGAGCTTCTGGAAGAATTACATCTTATTATTGACCTCATGTCAAGCTTCTCAAACATATCTTATTTTTGGAAATCATACTTCGTATTTGTTATGAAAGGGAATGATCAGGGACGATCTCAACAACACTCAACCAGACTGAACGAACCCCTATTGAAGGGCCTCTTGAAACCCCAAAGTCCTATTTGGCTAGGCAAAGCCCATATCATAGTAGCCCACTGAGCTCAATCCCAATCTTACTAGGACTAGACTAGAGTAGACCTCACTGAAATAGGGGCAGCCACAAGAAGAGGGTGGCGCCAACTCCTAACAGGAGTAGGATTCTCATGTTGCAGCCCTAAACAAGTGCCTTTAGGACCCTCCAAGCCCTAACCTAGCTAGGACTCCACCCCTTCCTCAAGGGAGGAGAGCCCCATCTAAAGCAATCCCCAAAAGCATCCAAGTTGTGTCCCCTCTAGAAAAGCCAATCGACCCTAGGTTGAGAGGAGAGGAGAGGAGAGAAAGAGAGAAAGAGGTTTGCAAGTTCTATAGCTCTTCTTACTGCCTACAACCACCTTACTGCAAAGATCTTTTCCAACTGGCTGTCACCCTTAATAGCTTCCAAGGAGGCCTTTGGCAACAACAAGAAGAAGACCAAACAAAAGGCAGCCAATAAGTAGACCCAGCCAGTCCTAACCTTTCAGCTTGCGTCGAGAGCCAAAAGAAGAGGAATTCAAAAAAGGATTCTACCCTCCAGCCGCAACCCCCTCTTCCTTAAGTTCGAACAGCCTAAACTCTACATCAAAGCTTTGTCCAGTTGCTGTGAGAAGTCCCAAAACCCTACTGCTTGCAGTCCAAACCTCAGGAGGTTTCAGTAGCAAGAGCGAAGGAGACCGAAACTGATAGTGATAGACAATCTGCCGAGAGCACTCAGGTGATGGCCAAAGACAACCTACATTCTTATACATCTATAAGTCTTCTATTACACTTTTAATTCAGTTGCTTTAAGTCTTATAATTAGCACTTTAACTTCACAAGCAATGTAGGTTGTTTTCTTTCGGCTTTACACTTGTTTCCTAGCAATAATTCTCACCTCTGTCAAAATTTTCATCCGAAAGGTGGTAACGAGTTGACGGATTGTTAGACCCAAACCCCATGCGAATCAGGGAATATAGAAAATTCTCTCTCATTGTTAATGGTGGTTTGCTGATCAATGATAGAGAAGAGACTATTTATTATGGATCATATAACACCAAAGCCTCTCTGCATGCCACATTCATGCGACGCACACTGAAACACTCAGCATTTGAGATTTCCACAGAGGTTCACCTAATGGAAAGTTAATAATCAAGGATAAAAGGGTTGATCAATTCCATTTAAATGTACATGCTTCATGCAGTAAAATTAACAGTTGAACAACATTCTATGAAATGGATTACCTTTATGGTGGTATTCTACTAAATGGATATTGTTACAGGGTCAATACAAAACAAGTAACATAACTAGTTTACGGCCAAAGATTCTTAGTTGAGTGTTCAAGTAGGGTCAAAAGACTCGAAACATTTTTAGTGCAAAATTTGGGACAACACCAATCATATAGAGAAAAATAGAAAATGTACACATTGCAGCCATCAATGTGTTTAGGAATCAACCAACAGGACAGATCACTTGATAGGTATTATTTCGACAAGAGGTGCCACTATTATCATAATATTAGATGTTAATATGGACAAGAAGATTCTTGTAGAGGCTAATTATCCTAGAGATCCTAGGATGAGGAAACAAGTCACATGATTATCATAATTAGATGCCTCATTTAGGTATTAAGAATGAGTTCGTAAGATATTCCACAGTTTAATAATTGTTCATGGTGGACAGTATCAATATATGTTGTTATGTATTCAAAATGTAAAAGCTACTTCTTTCAGCACAAGTCAACACTTTTAGTACTGCACTCACCACATTGTTTAATTTGACTACTATACTGATGACTCTTTCCCAACTCATGAAAGCTTTAGGCAAAAGGAAAATGATACTTATGCTAAGGACTCCAATACAAATTATCAGAAGAGCCTCAAGCAAAACCAAATGAATTATCTGCTGCCACGATTTTCTTCCCATCTATACCACTGGCATCTTACCAGTTTAAATATCTTCTCTGCCTGAGGGATTCATTCTCGTGCTGGATATGCTACAAAGTAAAAACTAGGACATGAGCCACTCACTCTAAAGTGTCATTGATACTGATCTGTGTCAATACTATAACTGTGCTTCATAAATATTAGACTTAAATAAACCGAATGGGAAATTATGAAAAGTTCGAGGGAAATAAGGAAGCAAATAAAAGAAAACTCAATATCGAGCAAGCAATCTAGGTGACAAATATCAATAGGATACAACGTAAGAGAGGATTCCCTGGTTAAATACCAGAGAACATTGAATGTGTAGCAAACTTTGTCATGAGATTGATAAATGCAGCCACATACATATTGTCTAGAAAGATCTTTCCTAAGTCATAGGTGGACACTAAAAGAGTACATATGCAGAGAAAAGGTTCATAAATTTGCTTTACAACAACTTCATATATGAAGCAAAATATGTTTGGTGTCCCAGATCATGGGAAAAAAACAGAGAAGTTAATTTGGACTTTGGAGATTGACTTTGACAGTAGGAGGTTAGAAGTTAATTAGTATTAGGAGAGGTTTTGTCTTTTGAAAGAAACTCTGAAAGGGGTATTTATACTTATATGAAAGCCATAGGGATTTGTAACTTAAATATCTGACTACCATATGCTAACAAGTTGATATAAGGTGACTGGAAGAGCCAAACATTGTAACAGTAAATTGAAAGAGAAAAGAAGATGTGAGAGAGAGATTGTGTGTGTGTGTGTGTGTGTGTGAGAGAGAGAGAGAGAGAGAGAGAGAGAGAAGAGAAGAGAAGAGAAAGGAAAAGAAAAAAGTTTAATTTTTGAGCTGTAATTATATGTTAAATTATATTGTGAATTTGACCTAACCACGTAATTCCTTTGCAGATTTATCCCCAGTGAATAGGATGAAAACACCCAATAGACATACTCTTTTACTTGCAGCTCTAGGCATGAAAAATATGTAAAAACAGGAGAAATTAAAAAAGATTTATATTCACAGTACAATAGGACCACCACCAGGAAAAAGGAGAAAACATCCATAAAGAAAGTGAAAGATAAGATCAGGATATAGTCTCAAGAAAAAGAAGTGAAAGAATCCTGTCTTCTTAAAGTCCATCCATAACATAAGACTTAATTTTAATATAGTAAATGATATAAAATAGGATTGAAGATATAACCATACAAGAGAATAATAACATCCATGTTAAAATCTGAATGAATATTCTCCAGCAGTCTAAATAGCAAGGCCTACCAGGTATATGATATTAGGTCTACTCGACTATATGGGTGCTCAATCTGAGATTACTTTTGGCAAGAGAAGACCCAATAAATTCAAGAAGGCAATCATCTATGCTACAGCTGGACTAAATTGAGGTTTAGTTTATCCAAGAATCAATCACATACAACCAGATGCTGAAAACAAACAGTAAGAACCTGCAAATTACATGGATGTGTCTTAGTATGTGCATGGACTGCTCAGGTTGAAAGGAACTGCCGAAGATTCCATCACTGACACATTATAACAGAGAATCTATTCAGAGCATTTACTAGTACAGAAGACCTAGGCAAATGAACTTGCATGCCACTGTCCCATCACATTATTGGGACAGTCCTACTATCAATATGACCTTACACCACCTAGTTATACTTAACCCTCTTGTACAAAACATATATTATAGAACTGATGATATAAAGCCTTTAACTTTTCATTCAAGGAAAGCAGCAGAGAATCAAGATGAAGCCAATAGGTGCTGCTATAAAGAGAATAAAGAAAAAAGCAGAGTGTGAGCAACTGCTTTCTTTCTTGTGAGAAAAAGGTGTGAACAGCTGCCATAATGGAATGTGGCAGAAAGAAAAACAGGATAATATGCTGACAAATGCTATAATGAAAGAGCAGAAACAGAATTGGCCAAACAAATGGAAGGAAGACATGACCTATTTCTGACATACTTATAGAAAAGAGCTCAGACAGAGATCATGATATGAAGCTTCCATTCTGGAAAAACCTATCTCACAAATTTTCTGTTAACCCAACAATTGCATGCTAGAGTCAGGAATTTCTGTATAAAGTGAAATTCTACGATTAGCTTAAGAGGAATTTACATTTCTCTATTCTCTGGATAATGTCCATATATGGATGCAACAAAAATTTCAACCTATATTTAAGTTTGTAACCTGACAAGTAGAGCACATAGCAACTGATAAAAATTAATAACAACATGCAAACCCTTATTTTTGTACATATACACAGATGAGACATCCAGAATGTTGATTCCAAGAGAAAAATAGCAAAATGGAATTTGAAAATTACTAGATGAACTTGACTTTAGCAAGGAGATGGCTATCATAATTGGGATATTGAAGATACATGCACAAAAGAATTGCTAAGGATATAAGCCCAGTCACACGAACCAAACAACTGTGAAGACATTCTTCAAGCATGCAAACAGAAAACTGGTGCACTACAAGAAAAGGGAAAATGAAGCCTACAAAATCCCATGACCAATGTCCTAGTTGGCCAAAATGTCAAAAAGAATTAAACAAATTAAGAAGACCAGTACTGTTGAATGAAGCATAAAAATACATTAAAAAGATTAACCAGAAGAGAGGTCACTAAATTGCAATTCAATTAGACGCATTAATGAGATTAAGCATGCCCAATAGTCAATCCACCCAAGAATCAAGTTTAAGGCTGGCATTCAACCCACCAAGTGCACTTCCTGATACAAGAGATTATGAGGTGGCAAATGCCTATTCTAGAAAAAAGAAACAAATACAAAACTGGAGACAAATTCTTTCACAAAAAAGATAGTTATATAGCTTAACAAAAGGAAAATAGGAGGTGGACAAACGAAATGCCGATATGAACTGAAAATAAGTTCCAAATATAGAGGACACAGCCAGAAAGAGGGACAAACATTCCAGAAAGCTCCATCATCATCCTCCATGCCAGTGTGGTTTCTCTAAGGGAAGTCGTCATGAATAACAACAAGAAAATATGAAGAACCTAAAAACCCATTACCTTGAAACATTTGCCTCAAACCCAACAGAAGAAGGCACCAAAAAGGATCTACATTCATAGGCAAGAAGGCTAACATCATCACAACAGTTCACTATCAAATCAAAAGCAAGATTATCTTTTACACCAAGTCCAGTCATAAAATCCAGATTTCGACGGGGAACATGCTAAAAGAATCATTTTTATTTGCGATGCATCTACAGGAACACGAGGAACGACCAGGAAGCAAAACACTGACCTGCTACACTGCTGACAGAACCTCTGCTCCAAGCCTGCAACAATCACCTTAGGTGCCTTCGAATGCATCCCACACACCTTGTGCCTACAGTAGTAAGCCTTAGCCCCAGTCAGATCCGCATTGCACCCCTCCACCTGGCACCTGGGTGGCTGCTGCTGCCCCCCCTGCGCCACCCCCTTCCCCTTCCTACCCGGCGGCGGTGGCGCCGCGGCGTCCTTGGCCGAAGCCGGCGACGGCTTGGAGGAGCTCCCACACCCACCACCACCATCCTCAAAGTAGATCTTTTGCCCAAACTTGAGCCCATGGAGAGCATCACCGGAGCCGCTTGAGGCACCGGAGGCTTTGAGAGAGCTCGAATCCATCCCCACTTTTGCAGCTCTCTCTACAGCCCATCCATGGACTCAGACACCAGTGGGAGCCCTAAAAGAGGACAGCTAGTGGCTTCCTTAGAGAGAGAGAGGGAGAGGGATGGGTGAAGGGAGTGGTCTTAAAAAGAAGGGGTTGTGTGTCTTCTGCTGTCTCACAAAGCTGCCACTGCCATGTTGAGCTATTTGCTGCATGATGCCATCAGACTGGGAAGTCTGCAGGCGGAGAGATTTGTGCCTGCACACTTTGTTTAACCCCTTTCTTTACTGAATCAGACTGAGAATGAACAGTGACAGTGGTGGTGGTAGGACCAGTGTGATGCTCTCTCCATCTTTGTACATCTCCTTTTGGATCAGACCTGGACACCTCTTCTACTTTCTCAAGGCATACATGTCTATGCATTATACAACTCATAAGATATACATATACATGTCTCTCTCTCTCTCTCTCTCTCTCTCTCTCTCTCTTGAGTTTGCAGAGGTTATACAGCATTGGACATGTCTGGGAAAGGTAACTTTGGTATGCCTCTGTGCTTTTTTGCTTTGAGAAGATGTGGTTCTTCTTTCTTTTTCTTCCTTTTTATCCTCTGCTATGAGTTGTGTGGCTGAGAAGGATCTTACTGGAGGAGAATCTTTTTTTGAAAGTAACTTGGATTTGATTGAGGGCCCTCATGGGGTCTTCTTCAGGTTCCTCCAAATCAATGGATGGATCAAGTTGCTCCCTCTGCCTTCAAGAAATAACAGAGGCACAGGCATTTTGTTTGTCTGAGTCCTGGATCACTTCTCAATGGATCTAGTAGATTTCAAATCTCAAACATTGTGAAGCAAGTCATATGGAGATTTTTGTTTTTTATCATCATTGAGATCCTCTATTATAATTTTATTTATTCCCAAATATATCTAAATCAATTGAAATGATTTATCCACAATGTAGCCTTTCTAAATAATTATTTTTTTTTTTGTCTCAGTATCCTCATTTCTACAATATTGATTTTTAAGATATACTGATCTTTTCAAATATTTTCAATAAACAAAGCAAAACTGGCATATCAATAAGGATAAGAAGAACTGTTAAAAAGGGAAGCCTTTTTGTACCTAACATATTTAGGAAATGTCCTACAACCAGTTAGCAGAAAGCTACTAAGCTAAGAAACCATGCAATTGACAAAGTGGGAACCTTTTGGTACCTAACAAGGTATCATATGATGGTCCTTGGTAGAAGAAAAAAACAATATCTTCTAACTTCTTTAACTATATGTTTAATACTGAAGAAGAAGAATGCTTCCAAATGTACTGCTTCCTAAAAAAATTCACAAATCTTTGTATAGCAGTAGTAAATAGAGGTACAAATTTTGCAATTGCCTTAGACATCAAAGCATCTTGTTGACTGTTGTGTTCTCCTGTCATGTACAGATTATGAATGAGGAAGTACAGCCCTTTCTTCTTCAAAAAAGATTTTGCTGGCTGGATTTGAAGAACAAGTCTCCTCAAATAGTATAAAGCTTTTGAGAACAAGCTCTATCAGAAACAAGTGCAACAAAAGGAGTTCTTTGGCATGAGGGATCTGAAAGTGTGTTGAGTACTTCAGTGAAGTTTTGTGGTAGTCTGGCTTTGTGATATCATCAGTTAGTTGGGCAGAAGAGGACAACACAAAAAGAAAGACAGGTTATCATACATCATTCTTTTTTATTTTGATTTCCTCTCCCTAGGTCTACTAGGTTTTGAAAGTTGAGATCTCAAAGACATAATTGGATTGCTGCCATGAGAAGTGGAAATCATGAAACTACAAATTATTACCATGAAAGATCTTTAGGAACTATGTTGAAGGTTATACAGATTAATAGGACTGTTATTCTTTTGTGTCATCTTATGGTGATGTAAGAGGACAAGCACAGGTCAGATATCTGGTGACTTGATATGCTTCTTCTTTAATCAGTTTGGAGCAACAGTGGCCCAAGGATAATCCAAACTTTTGGTTGCAAAGCTCATGTTGTTCTAGACAATATTTATGGTCCTTGAATTCTTGGTGATAATTTGTGATACAAAAACTTAAAAATTTAGTTGCCATGTAAATCTCAGATTCAAATAAACCTGAAAAATGATTTTGTTGGGATGCTGCATTACCAAGCATTTGACCCTTCTTAAACCCAACATTGACGGGAGTCTGTGCTTTAGGATATCCACATAATATCACAAAGATAAAGATGAAATAATGGTTTGACACTTCATTTCTTAGTTCTTCAAATGATGAAGAGGTGCTGCAGATAAACTCTGTACAGTTTTTTTTTCTCAAAAACTTCCTGATGTATCCTCAAAGGTGAAAAAAGAGATGGGGAAGGATTGTAGAAACTGGAAAAATGGGAAATCCTTGCAGCAGGATTGCACACTCCTTTCTCTTCTATAGAAGAGCTTCTATGGCAGCATATGGTGTGTCCTCTATCATGTGCCTTTTTTTTTTTGTTAATTAGTCATTAAAACTGGTGACATTGTTTTAGTTGACATTAAAACTATTATTGATCTTTGAGACCATAAAGATATCCTACCAAAATTCAAGAGGACAAAGTAATGTCATGATTATAAGGAAGGCACATACATTTTAAAATTAAACTTATTAAGATATCATAAAGATAATTGATGAAATATATTAATAGCTTATCGAAGAATAAAGTAAATTGACTATTAATTCTTGAAAAAAAAATTTTAAAAATGATTTATATTAAATGTAATGAATGTAATGTATCTATGGGACTATATAAACCCATATGTTAGGTTATGAAACATAGAAAGTTTTTAAAGTTATAAAAAAATTTGAAGTGAAATGTAAAATATTTTGTCATGTTCCACGTTTCCTTTGTGTGATAGCTCTATCTCTTCTCTATATATAATTTAATATTTGGTATCAGAGCTCAAGTTAAGTTATGATCTTTTCCTCAAGCACTCCAGATTCCCATATTGACAAAAGAAAATTATAACATACAGTACATCCAAATGAATGTTCTTTTAGACTCCTAAGACATGAGAGTTTATAGAACATGGATTTATTGAACAAGTCTAGTAGAAGAAGAAGTATTGAAAGAAAACACTCGAAGGAAGAAGGAAAAAAAAAATTCATAATTTACCAAAATCTTGATCATACAATATTCGAGATCATCATTTCAGCAAATAGTTCAAAAAAGGCTTGAGAAATATTTTCAAAAGCATTCGATGGTGTGGATAAGATAAAAAAACTTCATCTATAAGTTTTAAGAGTTGAGATTGAGAATCTATTTTGATATCATTTCTATTGTCCATCAAATGAGACAAAATGATGAATAAATAAGTAATCAAAGAGTAATAAAAAAAATACTAAGATCTTTATATCCAAGGTTTGATTTTATTACCGCAACAATTGAAGAGTCTAAAGATTTAGAACAAATATCTTTAGAATAATTAATGGATTCTCTCAAAATCCACGAAAAAAGGCTTACAAAAAAAGGAGAAGAAAAATCTCTTGAGCAAGCACTACGAACCAAGCTTACTCTTCAAAACAAAGGTAAATTAACATCTCAAAGATGAAGAGGTCGTGGACAAAGAGAAAGAGGTGATAGAAATCAGATTAATAAAAAATCTCAAAATAATAAAGATGGCGGAGAAAATTCTAGCCGAAGAGGTCGAGGTTATGGTTGAGAATATGACCGAGGCCATAGACATTATAGAAATTCTAAAAAATCTAAAATACAATATTATGTTTGCAAAAGGTATGGATACTACTCCTTGAATGATATTATAATCCTAACAATCAAGATGATAAGACAAATTTTATTAAAAAAGAAGACAAGAACAAAAATCATGCTTTGCTAATGACATAATAATTTGAAAGAAGATCACTCTATGATATAGTATTTAGATACAAAAGCTTCAAATCACATACGTAGTATCAAAGAACTATTTTTTGAAATAGATACAAGTTATTCTGACAACATTATATTTAATGATCTATCTTAAAGATCAATAAGAGGTAAAGGTAAAAATTTTCTTGGACTTAATAATAACAAATAATTATGTTTTTAATATGTTTATTATGATCCTATGAAAAATAATATTTTAAACTTAGGTCAATTGCTTGAAAAAGATTATGATATTGAGACGAAAGATATGCTCTCTCTAATAAGAATAAAATATTAATGTTATATGTGAAAATGATAATGAACAAAATATTCCTCTACATTTATATATTTTTGATTGATCAAATTATTTTAAAACTGATATTGAGGATAATTCTATATTATGGCATCTTAGATATACTTACTTAAATTTTGAGGCTTTGAAACTTCTAGAGAAGTATAATATGGTGAGAGGATGCCAAGAATTGATTGCTCATCAAAGTTATCTAAAGTATATGTGTCATAGGCAAGCAAGAAAGAAAGTCTTTCAAATTAAGAAGAACAAAAAGAGCATGATATCGACTTGATTTAGTGCACTCAAACGTTTATGGTTATATTAGTCCAGTATCATTCGGAGAAAATAAGTATTTTCTTACCTTCACTTATGATTATAGTGTCAAAACTTGGGTTTACATGTTAAAAAAAATAGTTTTAAGCAAATTTAAAGAATTTAATAATTTGGTTGAAAGATAAAATGGTTATAAGATTAAATGTTTAAGAATTGATAGGGGTGGTAAATACATATCAAAAGAATTTAAAAGTCTTTATAAAAATAATTTATATCAATTCACCATGGCGTACATGCCCCAACAAAATAGTGTTTCAAAAAGAAAAAATAGGATTATATTTAATATGGTCCGATGCATTCCTAAAGAATTCCTAAAGAATTTTGGAGAGATGTTGTTACTTATGTAGTTTATTTGTTTAACAGGTTTCCAATAAGGTGAATTGATAATATTATACTAGAAGTATGGATCTTACATAAACCAAGAGTTAATCTTGAGAATTTTCAAAAGTGTTGTATTTTGCTAAGATACAAGAAGAAAAGAGAACAAAACTTGAGGATAAAAATCACAAATGCTTCTTGTTAGGTTATGCTGAAAATTCTCACTATTACAAACTTTATAATCTTATCATAAATAAAGTTGTATGTCAAGAGATGTTACATTTAATAAACAATAGATTTGGAAATAAAAAAGTGATGAGCAACATAAGAAAATTATAACTTCAGAAGAAGAAGATATAATATAAGAAACATCGAAGAGTTTTTGCTTGAATCATCACATATATTGGTTAGGT